ACCTCTCAAAAAAGAAAAAGATACATTCAAGTATCTCCCAGCTATATCTATTCATCTTCGGGTAGTAAAGTTTCAGAATCTGGAGATGTTCTATTAGGAAAATGAGAACCTTACAGAGAAGGTGGAAGGTTGAAGTATGTAATCACAGTCTTCAGTTATTTTACCCCTAACAAATGTAAGAATTCGGTGTAAGATGTGAGCTATTCTATACACAAGACTTCTTCTGGATAAGGTCTGCAAGTCAGCCTAAGAAAAAGTCATCAACAAGATAAAACACTATAAATATCAACAACTATTGATGAAGGTGTTGTGAAAACAAGATAAGAATACACCTTAGGATAGGTAAAACAATCCCACTAAACTGAACTATTTTTTTGCTACCTGGAATCTTTTTAAAGGGTTATCCACACATAAAATAATTTTTGTCTTCATCTTATTGTACTGTTAGAAACCTGGCCTTCTAAGCTCAGTATTCAGAGAGCCTGAGGTGACACCCTATGTGCTCGCTGACATCAGAGAGTCAGTTCTACCCCAGGCTGTAAGTCGGCTATACCTTTTTTTGTTTTGTGCTATAGGTGTCTGTGCTCACCAGAGAGACAGAGAGACAGAGACAGACAGATATAAAGTGAGAAATCACCCCCCGAGAAGGGGTTTGGGGGTGGCCACACCAGAATCCTCTTCCTCCCCCATTTTCCTCTTCAGATTTAGGGCATGGACACATATGCACCTGGTGTGTTTTTCAACTCGCTGGAGTTTGGGACTCAAACTGCCCAGTTGGCCATGTGGGATTTAACTGCCTTAACCACCACACCACCTGGCTGGCTCCCTGCTACATACCATTTTACATCTAGACAGAACAGGGAGAGAAGTGAGTGGAGCAAATGAATCAGCTCATGGCTTGTATAAAATACTAAAAGCTGTTCAATAAGAGCTGAAAATAAAAATTAGGGGCCAAATTTAAATGAATGGCCAAGATGCTGGAGGAACAGCAAAATCCTAATCTGGAATAAAGTCAAATTGAAGGCTAAAAAGGAAATAAAATGTCACACAGAGAAACAGGAGGACTGGGGTCCCAGGAGCTAAGATAAAAATTTACTGAGCAATTTATTGCAGTATTAATTGACTGTCATTGGCCTAGCAGCAAATCAGCAACAGGGGTTTTGTAAAGGCATACTGTGGGTTCTGACAGCAGTTTATATCATAGCAAACCTCCTTAAAACCTGTATGTGTTATGATACTTCAGTAAGGCTCTAAATCTCTTGGGATCATCCATTCACATATGAACTGCACTAACCAAATTTAATCTTACCATGTCCAGTTTATCCACACCACATAGCCTAGTCATGTAATTAAAAAAGTCTTCAAGAACCTTTAGCAAAGACTTAAATAGTTTTCCAACAAGGGCACTTAGGGACTTAGAAAAAGGTATATAAAGCGAAGGACTTTTTTAATTCTTTGTTTAGAAAAGAATGGGTCAACATGCTCTGATATATTCAACGGTATATTTAACTGCCTCTTCTAAGCCGAGCACTGGAGATACGAAGATGAAGCTAGGACCTGGGCCTCAAGGGACTTACAGTGTGTCGGGGGTGGAGACAGGCATGTAAATTAGTCAGGATAATAAAATGTTACAGGTCCTATAACAGAAGTATGTCCATGGTAAAATAGGGACATAAAAAGAGAGAGTGATCAATTCCACAGGAGTAGGGGGATCGTAAAGTCTTTAGAGAAAAGGTGACCCTTTAAAAAATAAATGCAGCAAATCAGGATATTAATATCTATTACATAAAACAAAATCACATACATATAATTTGTTCTTCATTACAAAAGAGTGACATCTATTTAGGGATGAATAGGCTATAAATAAATTTGTAAAACTCCTCTCTTTTCAGAAATGTTCCATTAGCCTCTTTGACAACTGATTATAATTTAGTTGTCATGTTAACAATCAGTAGCCAATGTATAACTCGAAATTGGCTCAATTCATGAAGCAAATTAAGAAAAAAGTTTTTATTATATATTGTACATAACTATTTGCAAGTAAAGATTCAACTCATACATTATGTATATTATTGCCATATAGATTTTTGGTAGTTATTTGTTCATCTTATTGCCATATAGATTTTTGGTAGTTATTTGTTCATCTTACAGGTTTCTCCTCCTGGACAGTCATCCATATTTAAATTATTTATAGAGTGGCGATTTTGAAGAAAGTTACTTGGTAGCTTAAAAGTACATAGGCAGAGCTGGGGTTACCAGAAGTAAAACTTCAGTTACTGGTGCACAGTTAGGGTTGTAATCTTCAGATGTACAACACAAAGGTATATGGACTACACACTGCTCCTTTCAGCACTCACTCCTACAGAGGGCCAAAGTATAAGAGCACCGTCTTATAAAAATCTCCTTACAGATAAAGTGGTCCAAGTTCACTTACAAAAAAATTCAGTTCTGGTCACTGGTCACCGTAATCAACCAATGCTAAAAATTAACCTGTGTTAGGGAATCCTGTCCTCATGCAAGTGAGCCTCATTCCCGAATCTCTGACTTAGGAATATGAAGTATGTAGTCTATTAACTAGTTAACTCATTTCAAACCTTCGAAAACAGTCTTTCAATTTTTTTATTAGAGAAATATTTATTATACCTACTGTAAATGTATAATGTATGTATATAGTCTATATATTATAAATGCTATATCTATTATAAACTGGTTACAATAATCTTTACATACTCCACATTGCCTCACAGAAATTTCTGTCTTCAGCAGATCATGTCAACTCATAGGTAATACACAGGTCTCCTCTCTCTTCATTTTAATCTCTACTGCATTCCCACTCCTACACTCTGTTTTCCAGGAAGCTTGTGTTATAAATAAATAAATAAATAAATAAATAAATAAATAAATAAATAAAATAAAGAATCCAGACTTAGTAAAAAGAACTTTTTTGAAAGGATTATTGGAAGGGGGGATTAGGAAGAGAGTAACTATTCCAATAAATAGAGGTGGATTACTGTAATAGGAAGAACACTTTGATCATAAGATTTATAAGCATGCCAAGAGTTAGGAAAGAATATTTTTTAGGAAGGTGTAAGTAAGGTTAGAAAGAATCTGATGTGGGGAAGTGAGATGACAGGATGACATGAGTGCATTAGGAAACCGGAGGATGTTTTATACTCAGACACCAGCCTAGTCTCTGGGGGACTATTAAAGAGATGTTGTTGTATGCTGGTAGGAGATCTGGGATCTGGAGAAAGGATAGCTAAATCATAATTTGGTTACAGAACACTTTGTTCCAGTTGATCAGTGGGAACAAGCACTTCAGCTAATCATTTGTGAGGTAAACAATGGACATTGGTAATGGATGAGTTCAGTCTTGTAAGAGTAACCTACCAGATCAGAATTCAAAGTAAAAATTAAGGGCTAAATAATAAAACTACACGTTTTTTATTGTTTTTTTTTCTTTTTGTGGAGGTTTTTTTGTCATAGGGCGCCGTGCCCTCACCAGACAGAGAGAGACAGAGACAGAAAGCGAGAAATCACCCCCCCAGGAGACATGGCCATGCCACAATCCCTTCTCCTCCAGTCTCCTCTCGGGATCTCGGGCATGTACGCACACGCACCCGGCGTGAGCTTTAAACCACTGGGTCCGGGACACGAACCTCGGTCGACTACCTGGGAGTCCAGCGACATAGCCATTATGCTAACTGCTGGTCCCCAAACTACATATGTTTTCTAACTCTTTCTTTCCTAGCAGCAAAGAAGACAGGAAAGATCAATGATCTCCCCTATTGATCTATAGGGATATCTAAGTCATTGGTCATTAATTACTTTAAATTTTTAGTCATCTGGTACTTTTTACTTCGGAGACACATCTGACATGAAGTAAGCAGAAAGGAAGAACCTAATGATGTTTCAGATTCAGAGGTTGTCTATTGCAGAGCTGTAACGAGTCAAAATCTCCCAAATCCCCAAACTAAAAGAGGAAAAGCAAGTTGTTTCCCAGTATGAATATTCCTGAGAAAGGTAAATAGCCCACTGCAGCTATGCTGGATATGATCTACTTTTTCCTCTTATTTTTTTTTTTATCTCAAACTCCAGGAGTGCAGAGACATGGACAGAGTAATACTAGAGACTGCCCCGAGACTAGGCTCGGACACAATCTCACCTGTAGAGGAAAATACACCTTCCAAAAGCAATAATATAGGGTAGTAAACATATTGTTAATTTACCCACCATGATTCAACACGAGACTCTCAAAAACCCTTTTTCTACTTTGTGTTATCCAGATAAAATCTATGATTTACAAAAGTAAGTATTAACAGATTAATGAAAGTGAGTATAATAAGACAACATAGGTTTTAAAGGCATTCATGAAATTTATGAAGAAATGTCTCCACTTTTAATAACTCAGCAAACAAACTATTACCATATGTCTGAAACAAAAGAAATAATATTTTTATTGTGTCCATTCCCAAAATCTGTGCAGAAACCAAGTCGAAGTCCCATAATTGCTAAATGCAGCTTTCTATTAGAAAAATAATGCATATGAAATAAACATAGAAATGATAGAAGTAAAACTTTTAAGCTGGAAACGAACTTTATTACTATTAAATCATATGAATAATTTCTAATTGACTCATATTGGGCAGAAATCTTATATTCTAGAACCATGTTCATCTATTTATCACAATATTCTATTTATGACATATGAAAACTAATATACTGCTTCATTAATATTTATAGTTTTGTATAGTTATGGCTCAGAGATATTTAACATTCTAAAACATAAGCATTTATAATTACATGTTTTACATTTCACTCCAGTTTTTAATACTGTCAAGATTATTTAGCATAACTAACTTTTTAACTATGTTCTCTTTTCTTTCTTTACCATTAGCATATCAATCAAATTTGCATTATTCTGCTTTGCTCATTTTATTAAAAGCGAATTCAGGGCACAATTGACTTTTCATTTGTTTAACAAGTGAAGAAATATTTACCCTGACAGCCATTGCATTGTAGAGATTCATCTTCATAGTATAATATGCTACCTGTGAATCAAAAAAAAAAAAAAAGAGATGGCATACATTTCAGTTACACAAAGACAGTGCAGCCTATTTTTACATATAAAAGATAAGAATCTTTATACATAATACATAATAAGAGTTCTAGGCTTAGAAAAATGAAATCAAACTTTGTATTGAAGAGATAGGCTTCCTAATACATAATGCAAGCTTAACCAGAAAAATCTATGGTAGTCAAACTAGGAGCTAATGGAGATATATGATCATAAAATGCTCTCCGCTGAGTTTGATAATCAATGGTGCTCTACTGAGAATAGAATAACAAAGCAGAAATATTCACAAGTGCTGGTGACACGTAGTATTGTATGATTTATTCACTGGGGTTCTTTTAGCCAAAACTCACAGAAACATAAAAGGAATTCATATTTCAAGACGTCTGGTTTAATGAAAAATTCAAAGAAATGCTGTCTTCAGTCGAAATCGTTCAAGGATATGGATGCAGTGATGGAGCAAAATTGTGCCTTCCAACCATCTATGCAAAATGTTATGTACTTAGCTGCCTCCTGAGTAATCCTTGGGAATTTTGTTTCATTTAATATTCATTTTAACACCATAAAATCATAAATACAATGATATCATGTTACAGCAAATCCCTTGATATAGCAAAGACTTCCTGAAGACTTGATTTCTTTCTAGTAACAACACATTTATCTATTAATACACAAATCTGTTACAGTAAATAATCATTTAGCAATGTAGCTTATTTCAATGAAAATATTGCTTTAAATAAAGCTTCCACATCTGTTATAGCATCTAATTAAAAATGTAAAATTAACATAATTCATGACAGTACAATATAGTTGTAAGCAATGAAATACAAGCTTTTTCAATACAATATACAACTTAATCCATTTTTGGTCAATCAAAATTCATTTTACTAATATAACTTGAGTGCAAGTAATAGGTGTTATGTTTCAGGCTAAAATTAGAAAAAAGTGCCTTAACCCTTTATAAAAGGAGTCGCTTTCCCATGACAAACAGGAATTCATATGAAAGGGTTTCACTGTAATTAGTGTTATTTGAATTGCCTGGTCTGATCCAAAACAAATTGTCTGTGGAGAGCAGCAGGGCTGGATTATTTATCAACAGTCTGAGCAATTAAGAAACAGTTGGCTGCAATATGTTATATACAAATGAACACTGTGATGTTGCTTCATTTTAAATTCTTTCTTTGTTGTAGCAAGCACAGCATGATTTTTGGCATTTAGGGTGATTTTTAAAAGATTGACATTAATATTACGTTCCTTTCAAGTCTTATTGAAACGGACATGACTATCACTGTTTTTATAAAGAAAAAATATATTGGAAATTATATATTCCCAAATGTTTTGGTTCAGAAAAAGAGGTTTCTTATCCTTATATTGTTTTCTGTTAATAATGTGTGTGAGCCTTCAAGCCACAGACCTGAGTTCAATTCTCAACTTGCTTTTACCAGCTGTGTGCCCTTGAAGAGTTGCTTTAAGCCTCTCATTCTTGATTTCCATCCTTACAAATTAAGGCATTATATGCTTCATTGAGTTGCTGTGAAGATTCAAATGAGATAAAGTATCTAAGGTACTTGGGACATAGCTGATAGTTCTGATGAAAGGGATTTTCAGTAGTGTTAACCATTGCACATTTTGTGGCTAAAAGTATGTGACTTAACTGTAAGTAAAGTTCTCCAGAATATAAAGGACTAAATTTTATTATAATCTAACAGGAAAGAGAGCTAAGGCTTGAGATAGAGCTTTGGAGCCTAAGAATTCTAAATTCTATAAAGTGGTAGAAAGGCACTTCGATTCCAACATACCACTCTCAAGTGAGCCCCTAATTAATACTACATTTATTTTGAATTCTCTAGCCCAGATGCTTTCAAAAGCACTAAACAAAAAGAAAAGACAAAAAAAAAAATGTGACACAAATATAATAAGATTCTACTTATGTGAAGTATACAGGTAATCACATTCATAGAAACAAAAAAAAATGGAAGAGGGGGTGCCAGGGTCTTGGAGAATTGGAGAGTTATTGTTTAATGGGTACAGAGTTTCAGTTTAGGGTGATAGAAAACTTCTGGAGACAGCAGTGATGGCTGCACAGCATGAATGGACTTAATGACACTGACTGATATAGTTAAAATGGTTACAACGGGGACCAGCAGATGGTATAGTGGTTACATTACTGGACTCCCACATGGCCAACCGTGGTTTGAGTCCTGGACCTGGTGGTTTCAAACTTATGGTGGGTGCATGTGCATGTGTGTCCAAAATCCCTGGAGAACAGAGGAGAAGGAATTGCAGTGTGACCATCACTACTAGGGTGTGTTTTCTTGCTTTCTGTCTCTCTAGTGAGCATATATGCCTTATAGCAAAAATCCCCCCACCCCCAAAATAGTTAAAAGGGCAAATTTTGTTATGTATGTCTTACAGATTTGAAAAAAATAACAATGTAAGTGTGAAACATTCATTTTATAAGCTATCTAGGAGAAATATTTAGATACTTTAAAATTTCATGATGTTTTGTCTAAAGCTGTTTCTCCATTCTGAGCAATGATGATTATTTATAATATTAACTTTTGTCCTTTTGGTTACATGAACAGCTGAACTATAACTCATACAGAAGCCCTTGTTACAATTATTTCCTAGAATTTTGTCCTAAGGATCTTTTTCCTACTCTATGGACTTAGGTAAGCAAAGCATATTCTAGTTACTAAATGTTAACAACATATCCAAGAATGACAAGTTATTACAATTCCTCAGGAGACAAAATTCTTATTTTTCTTACTATTAATTAATATCCTACCAAGTTTACTTTAATGGGGAAGACTAAAGATCTGAATCAAATATGAAGTATAAAAGACTATTTATTGTAATGGAAACATGCTGCCCAATTATAAATGTTCATCAGATATTTGTTAAATAAATATGGGAAAGAGAGGGGTTAAAAAGAAAAAAGAGAGACAAGGACAAAGAGAACTGATACATTCCATATACAACAGGTAGAAGAGAAAAGAACCCTGGGAAGAAAAAGGATCATTGCAAACACTATCAACTATTTGTTAGCTGTATGGCCTTCATCATATCAACTAGCTTAATTTTTACAGTCTTCTAAAATTTTTATGGAGGATCTGTTCCTTTTGAAAACATAAATAATTTTCTGAGTGGTTAATGTCTCCATAGTACTTTTAGATAGGACTGTCATTCGGTGGCATTGGGCCAGAGTGATCATATTTGATATTTATAACTGTATCCCTTCTGATTTGTTGATCATGGATTCTGATAAGTGAATGACTCTAGTATAAGAATTGCTAATTATTTTTAATATCATCCTGCTTCCTAAATAAACTTCTGAGTACTCAGTTTCACTACTGCTATGTTTGTTTTCCGTTTTATATTGAGCATTTGGTTCCCTGAATTTATCTATCATTTCCAGTTATTCCCGGAGTTTTGTCAAGTCTTTTTTCCCATGCCTCATTTTATTTTTAATCCATTCAGAACAGCGTCTCTAGATTAGTTTTGTAAAATATTACTTTTATCAAGTCCTTATTGAAGTTTTTAAACCCTTGACCTTCAATAGTTTTCAATTGCTTAAGACAAAGCATTTTAATTGGGCTGAATTACATAACTAAAAAAATGCACGAGTAATTCAGATCGCTAGGATAGAGCAAGTAATGTTACAAACTAAAGTGTGTAACATAACATTTTTATTTCTCTAGTAGCATTATGATTATTAATAAGAGTATGTCCTGGGACCAGCAGATGGTGTAATGGTTACATCATTGGACTCCCATTTTGTTGACTGAGGTTTGAGTCCTGGACCTGATGGCTTAAATTCATGCTGAGGCATGCCTGCTCAAAATCCTGAGAGGAGAATAGGAGGAGAGATTGCGGCATGGTCATCCTCTGGAAGGTGATTTCTCACTGTCTCTCTGATGAACGCATTCACCCTACAGCAAAAATCTCTTTTAAAAAAAGAAAAGGGTATGTCGTATACTACGTTTTATTTTGTGTTCTTTTTCTATCAGGTAAATTATAATGGGGACTTGGGGTGGGGGAATAGGTAAGAGCCACTTACTTAGAAATCAAAGTGATATTCAAATTTCACCACAATCAGGTCCCAATATTTTTAATGCAATTATTTCTCATTACCTTTCCTTAGATCTCAATCTGACCAAATTATTGCACATTTTTTCTTCACCATTTCCATATTCATATGCCTTCACTTGCCTGATATGTCTTACCGTTGCTTTCTAGTTATCCAAATCTTCTCTCTCCTGTTTTTCTTGTATGCTTTACTACAGGAGAAACTATCTTTTCTTCCCTGATCTCAGTACCACCAAATGAAATAAGAAGTTAGCATTCTCCTAGCTCCAGTGGATACTGTAAACCAGTAGGATGTACAACAACAAAAAGAAACGACACAAAACATTACATCTCAAGCTTCTCAATTTCCATACTCTCTCTTTTCAGTGTTGTCATCTTTCCTTAGGCTTCTGGATCACACCATCCTCCTCTCTTTCTTTGTGCTCCCCAGCCTATGCCGACCATGAAGATTTTAATAACTAGCTAAAGGATTTACTCTTCATTAGAACTCTTGCCACTATTCTTAGACTTCATATTCAATGACCTATTCCCACGATTGCCTGCCTTCCTCAGTCCCAGTGAGTTCAATGTCAGTTTGGCCTTATACTCCCACAACATTTTCCAGGTTTTGTCTTAAGTTCCTCTTCTTGTTTTATACCCAGACTGCAAGTTCCTATCCTTAAAGCCCTGATGGCTTAATTATATCCTTAAAATGTCCTTTCTAATTTAGACAAATCTAGTACAAATCTCTCCCTTTCCTCACTTCTAAGTTCCTCCATGTATTTTCTTATGCAATATGCAGTGGTTACATGGTATCATGTTAGGTAAACACACTGTAAGTTATTTAGACTTTCTTTTACTGTTAACCATTTGGGTGGGGAATCAAGAAAAGATGTTTCAAGGAGAAAG